GCCTGATCGAGGAGGCCCTTCCTGTAGTTCCAATAATTCGCCTTGATTGGGTCGTACTTTGTTGCCAATAGATCCAAAGCCTTCTTAGCCTCTTCCTTCTTCCCATCTTCCTCTGCGTAGATATCTGCTAGTAAATCAAGTGCATGGCTAGAATACACATCATCTGGCTTCTCCAGATCAGCGAACTCAAGTGCGAAATCTTTAAGTGTGGAGTCTGGGAGCTTGGCGTAGCGAACGATACCGCGGAGATAGTTCCATGGGCTCTGGTTCTGGGGCGCCTTGCGGATCGCTGCTTCGGCATAGCTGTGTCATCGTCAGCATCTATCTCCTAGAAATCCTCGGTAGCATCGAACATACTCAATCTCGCGAGTTATAATGTCTTTGGACACGGCCTCACCATCGCGCCCGCCAACTACGATGTAATACCGATGATTCCAAGCTGAATTATTCCTCACATCCTCTTCAATCATGCCCTCCGTCCACTTCAGTTCCTTCTCGTCGAAGATACCAAAGCGCTTGACCAACCACTGGCGGTAGCTCCAGACGTGGTAGTTCTTCGTGTCCTGCTCCAGCATCGTCGAAATGAAATCCGCCTCTCCCTCTGGACTCCCAAGCTTATCAATAATTGTCTGGCGATGGTGCCATATCTGGTAATTCTTGAGGTGTTGCAGCGCGGTTGGGTTGAGCCACTCGATTTCCTCGCGCAGGTCCCCGCCCGTCTGCTCGAGCACCTTCGCGCGGTACAGCCACACGGTGTAGTGCGCGGGGTTCATCGATATGATGTGCTCGGTGAGACTCAGCGCGCGGGCGCTGAACTCGTTGGCTGCCATGAGAGCGCGTAGATAGCTCATGGCCTCGCTGTATTCCTCGGTATAGTTGATCGCCGCGAGCGGGTGCGGGCCTCCCTCGTCTTGCGGGAGCGGGGTGACGTCTGCCCAGGCGGTGTCGTCGCTGTAGTACTTCGGCGGCATCGTGAGTGTGAGGCGGGCGTGGCGGTTCAGAGAGAATTGAATGGAGAAGGCAGCGAGGGTAGAGGATGGCGGGGATGAGGCCGGAATCGCGGGGATGGGAGGTCCAAGAGGGACATTTGGGAGTGAGGGCTTGGCGGACACCATGCCTCTTTCATCTATCGACAACAATATTAAGAAAACGTCAAAGAACCTCAGCGACGTCGTGAGCGATAATTCCGGAGATGGACACGGTTCTTTGTCTTTGATGGAAAGAGTACGCTTGTGATGGGGCTTGGGTCAAAGACAAGGTCTGCTAGTCATGAGCCGTACGGGTAGCTGCATTGATCGCTGTCTCGTGAAGAAGTTTCATTATTCCGCAAGCTACGGTATATGAACCACCGAATCCTACGAGGCTTTCAAACTACCATTAATGTACACCACTTCCGGAAACTTCGAGCTCGGCACATCCAACCACTCCGCCTCTCCAAGCACAAAATCAAAGAACCCCAACACGAAAGTCCGCACGATGGAGTCCATCCTCGTAGCCCAAATCGGACCCAGCCTCGGCGTAAGCGTCTTATTCCTCAGACCTTGTAGATCAACCCAATTACCAAGATCAGAATAATCCTGGTGCGAACTCCCCGTTACATTCACCCACTCCCACCATCCGGACTGATTGGCGGAAAATGGAGACCAGGTTGCATCAAGTTCGGGTGTATGTTCTTCTCCAGCCATCAACAAGAAAGGCTTCTTGACGTCTGGGAGGTCAAAGAATAGGCCGTCCAGGTTCACGCCACCAAGGATGGAAGACTCGACAGCCAACGTACCGGCTGCTACGGCTCCGCCGATTGAGTGGCCAATAGTGAGGTAGTGGGTGGTGTTGAACGGTGCACCAGAGGAGGCCACGAATGGTGGGTAGAGTTCCCTGATCACGGCGAGCGTGTCTGAGACTCGCATGTTATAAACAGCTGTCATCAGAGATTGGTTCCAGACCGCGGTAATGTCGAGGCCGTAGACGCCTTCCGCGCCGTCCGGGAGCTGGAGGTAGGGAATCTCTCCAGGATGGTCGAGAGCGAGGACAGTGTAGCCCTGAGATGCGAGTTCAGAATTGAGCTGGTTGTACATGATCGCATTCTCGCCGCCGCCGGGAGAGAATATGACGGTCGGTTTCTGCGATGTGCCGTAGGTCGCTTTGTCCAGGGGCGGGGCGTCATATTGGTTCCATGTCGTTAGGCTCTGGAGGGAGTTGTTCGGGTATTGGAGGATATCGCCCCAGAGCTTGGCGGTCGTGGGATCGAGATACTGCGCTGTGTTGTTCCCCGGGATTGGTATGGATAAAGTAGGATAGTATATGGTCGCTAACAGAATCGACGACGCGTTCTGGGGAGCCACAGGGTCGTGAGGCGTTGTGTGATTGAAGACATGCTGCGTAATTCCGACTTGGTATGGCCCTGTTGGAGGAGGGAACGGTACGGCACGGATTGCCTGAATCAGCAGAGGCACAAGAAGGACAAGCATTGTGAAATATAAGCAACGGATGCGATGCTGTCTGGCCGTTAGACTGGATGTCACGATGAATTTATGTTCCTGGCGGCTGGGCCGGCAGCATGCGGTCATTTTTCCATGGGTCTGGATCCTTGCCCACTCGAGGAATACCATTTTGCTGGATACGAGGTTATTCCCGACAGACTGTCTTATTGTGGTGAGGCTCTACAGCTGACTAGGCTCGATGAAGCAGGAGATTGTGTTAAACAGCCTCCTGCTGCAATCCTTAGGTTTTTTTGCGTGCAAACCAACGAAGGATAAGGAGGCGAAATTTCCTAGTTATAAATTGTGGTAGAATAGTTTCCTCCCCCTGTACGCATACCCTGCTATCGCGGCATAGTCCTCGCAAGCAGAGGCGGTTTTAGGATCGTGGATTCCGAGCACATCCTTATTATTAGGTTCTTGTCAGTATTGGGATTGTTAAGCTGATATATATTCTCTTATAGAGTTTTGACCAAAGACATCAAGACTGAGAGGCTTCCAAGTTAGACGGGGTATGGTTCCAATTTCTGTTTCTCTTCTCTGTGCCGTTTTGACGATGTTACGAGCTAGCGCGAGATCAGAGGCCAATGGCTCCATGCCTTAGGGGATGGAGGCAGCAATGGATATTCTATTCGAAGATTAAATCTACAAGGCAAAGAAACGTGGCATATTTGTTGGGTAACTAACCTGCTATTAGTCATGTTGCGTTTTAGGTGGTGGAAGTTAATCAAGCACGCCTTTTCAATTTTCGAACAGGTTTAAAGAGTATGGCATCAACTTTAAGTTTCCACTCAATATTGAGATTCCGATTTTTTTAGTTGGGCCTGACTGCTATATAGTTTACGATACTTAATTCTTTCTCACTTTCAATTTCGCACGAGAGAGTACCTCTAAGCGGCTGATTAATTATCTGACCAACTTTACTAACTTTACTAATTAGCTGCAACATCGGATGTCGGGATCTGACACCCGTCAACTTTTCAATTTCCTTAACGCCGTTATTTGCGTTCCACAAGGCAGTATTGCTTCATGAGGAGAGTTTCGAGGTTGACACAGAGACAATGGTAAGGAGTAGAAAGACTACCTCGGTAGCAGGCCCAGGGAGGTATAAAGACCCTGCGAGCCAACCTTCTTCTCACTCATCAGTTCATCATCATACATCTTTACTCAGCCTCCAATCACTTACAACGCATTTTATCATCAGTCTCCCAGGACCCGCTATCAATCATGGACCCTACTAGTGGCTACGCATTCGTCGGTCTCGAGAACCTCCACAACGACATCTACCCGCTCATCGACGCCTCCACGAACAAAGATCTCAATCAGTCCGGAAAAGTCGTCCTCATCACCGGTGCCGGGCGCGGCATCGGGAGAGCGATTGCCTTGCAATACGCACACGCCTCCGTAGCCAGCATCATCCTCTGTGCGCGCACCGTCCCGGAACTGGACGAAGTCGAGGCCTCGATCAAGAAAATCAACAGCAGCGTCAAAGTCACAAAATTCCAGCTCGACGTAACCAACGAGGATGCCGTAAAGGCGTGCTTGGACGCCGTGAAGAAGGATGAAGGCCGTCTCAACGTGCTTGTCAACAACGCCGGGACCACGGAACCTTGGGTGCCCATCGGGGAGTCTAAGCCCAGCAACTGGTGGAACACGTTCGAGGTCAATCTCAAGGGCCCCTATCTGCTTATGCAGGCCTTTCTCCCGCTGCTCGTCGAGACGGCGAAAGCAGACGGCACGACCGTGGATGTGGTCAATATTTCCAGCATTGGTGCCCTTATTGTGCACCCCGGCGTCAGCGCTTATCAAGTCTCGAAGCTTGCTGTTCAGCGCTTGACCGAGTTCGCGGCCGCGGAGTATGGGAAGCTTGGTGTGAATGTGGTGGGTTTGCATCCTGGGGGTGTGCTGACGGCGTTGTCAGAGGGAATTGCTTCTATCAGAGAGTGTAAGTCAGGTGTCGTAGCAGATTGAATGGAAGGCCGGTTTTCTGACAAACTTGACAGACATGGTAGACACGCCAGAACTCTGTGGTGGTTTCACCGTTTGGTTGACTAAAGGAGCGAGGACTTGGTTGGAAGGTAGATATTTGTCTTCTACTTGGGATGTAACCAAGTTGGAGAGTATGAGGGAGGAGATTGTAGCTGGGGATAAGCTGAAGGTGAAGATGGTCATTTGAGCACAGATGCTCATAGTGCTCGATAATTGCATATCATTATTCGCCTATAATTGTCGCATACCCACGCCATCATCACAATGGGCAGATTCTCAGGCGGAATGGAGTACATTTGTTGTTGCAACGTCATGCATCTAGTTAGTCTCTTGCGAAATGACAAAAACATGGCACAATTTTTAAATATCTTGATGGCTTGGAATGGTAGGTTTGTGGCGGCGCAGAAAAGCTTCCAGATGGGCTCTGGCGGGTGATTTAAAAATAAAACAGTGCTTTCTATAAATGCCACGTATGAAAAATACATGTACCGTAAAAAAAAGAGTACTTCGTACTCGGTCCTTTTAAAACCATAGCGACGTGAGCAGGATTCGAACCTGCGCTCCCGAAGGAACAAGCTTAGCAGGCCTGCGCGTTAACCACTCCGCCATCACGCCTTGTGGTGACGTAATCGATACCCTTTCATATATATATACGTAGCAAATTCAATTACATTTATTTGATCGTGCGGCCCGCCTAAGCGCCTCGTTTAAGGCTTGGCACCGTAAATCTTTCTAATGCCGCGCTTTGGTAAATATGCCCAGAGCGTCTAAGGGAATCTGGTTCGAGCTTTAGTAAGGCTTATTTCTACCTACTTCTGCCCCCTACTACTACTATTAAAGGTGCTTTCTCTACCTCTCTCTATATAGAGTTTCTTGTAAGATCGAGTTCGGTTCTCTACAGGTAAGCAAAGGCACGGGATTGGTTGACTCTATTTCAGCTATCAACAAGATAGCGAGAGAGAGGTAGCTAGGAGCGTAATTGCTCGATAAAAAGCGGGCGTGGTTAGTGCGCCCTCGGCCCGGGTTTCTCCCGACCTTAGCGTCGTCCGAAGGTGAACGCTTGATCACGTTACCTTGCTCAGAATCCTTCCTTGTGTGTTCGACTCGCAGAGCTGTTCCACTTCTTAGTATTTCTATTAAAAGGAGTGTTCTTAGTATAGAAGAGAGTAAAATCTTAGAAAAAATACTTTTTTTAAGCTTGTAGAATAAAACATAGATAAGCAAAATTTAATATTTAAAATACTTACTTATATCGAGCTTTATATATACTTTAAGCAGTAGAGGTTAAGTCTATTGCGTGCGCTGCAATAGATAACGCTAGAAACAAAGTAGAATATAGAGACAGCAAGGCAAGGTTGCTAAAGAGTAAACAGTAAGACAGAAGCTATAGCAGATGCGTAGAAAAAGCGCAAAAGAAGCGTAGAAGAAGTTGCAAAGAAAACATTCTTGTGCCTGTTTTATTTCTAGAGATAGTAGCTATTAAAGAGAGTTAAAAAGGAATTTTTAGTCCCTACGTCACTAAAGGTGGAACCAGATTACCTTAGACGCTCAGTGTCAAGTGAAGGCAAGGAGACGCACGGGCCACCTACTTCGTGTTTGCGTCAGATCAATAAGATAACAATACTCTACAACTTCTCGCCATGCTGTATATATATTAAATAAGTTGACAATTATCTCACCAAAAAACTCAACCTACGGTTCCTTCGGGATAGCGCAGTGGATCATGATGTGCCACACACACATTTCGCCACTGTTGTGAATGCCGGGTTCGAGTGAGCTCTTAGTGCAGTAGTTTTAATACAAATTTGATTTGCTATTAATAATTACCGAGTGATGCCTAATAATGAGCGGCAATAGCAAGCGACCCAGGCGGGAGCTTCTAGGCCTGCAATGAACTGGAAACAGGGAGCAGGTTTCTTCTGGTACTGGTATCTCGGCGACCTGCTTAATTGTCGAGGTCGCGACTTACTTTTTGGCTGCAGGAACCGCTCAGAGATCACTCACTTGCCTTCAAATACGCGACAACTCTTCTGATTTCTCTAATGCCTTCAGAAGGCGCGCTCACCCACTTCCTCTTTTAAACGGCCCTAATAACCACAGCCCAGCTGGGTCAGTGGATAATGAATAGAATGCCAGATCCACTGGACGGGGGTACTGATGTTGATAGATGTGGAACGAGGAAGATGAAGGACAAAAGCAAGATGGTACGGGATACCCACCTCATTCTTTTTAGAACCAGGCAACGATTCATTTCAGTGGGGAACAATCGCTCTAGCAGGGTGTCGTATTTTTGTTATCTTGAAGACCCCCACACCTAAAGATCAAAGAGCGGGCGTCTATATGGCGCATATTTGGGAGTAAGTCATGAGGTTCTAAGCTAGTTGCAATGGATAGGGTACCGCGATTTTCCAGTGCAGAGGATTCAAGCAGCAAAATACATACTTTGGCACAACCTACGAACTGGATATATGAATTTATTCGAGAGCGGTTCCCTCCGCCAAACGCACCCTTCCCGAGAATAATTCTAGAGAACGAACGCAAATAGGAAACTATGTTCCAAGAGGGCTTAAACAATCACGGTGCGCACCTCGGAAATGGATACGCAATCGCAATGCATCCGCAGACATATAACCGTCACGATGTTGGTGACCAAAGGTCCTCAGTATCCGGATGGCCTGAATCTGATGAAAAACACCATTGACGAGGTGGTGCGAAATAACCACCATAGTCCTCTCAAATGGCTCCTGGATTATCTCTACTTTCCAGCTAGAGAGACTGAAGGCCATATACGGGCCTAGAAAACCCCGAGTGGGCATAGTCTATTCGAGTTCGATCCCCGCTTTCCAATAGGGAATGGCCAGACCACGAGAATGGTAATACTTCTACTTGAAGATGGGAGGCCACGGGGTCCGCAGAACCCAGATGTTACATATCAGCCTGGTCCCGGAGGACCATTTTTCTTCAATTTTGGCTAGCCTGGATATTAAGAGTTTGGTGCTTGAAGGGGTTATACCAGGGGGGTGGATCTGTCCCACACCAACTCCCACGGCCTATGATACATAACAAATAGGCCTAGGAGATTGGGTTGAGAAAGTTGGTGCGTCCTATTTGATCTCAGCTTATCATCTAGCGCATGCTACATGCACATATCAGCCCATCAGCCTTACCCCGCTTGCCGATAGCGTCACCTGGTCATGCGGCAGGCGCAAAACCGGTCAATGTCGAGCCTATATAGGCAGCAAGGTGCCCGCTAGTTCACAGTATCGCGCCCATCCCTTTCTCCCACTCCACTCGAAGTTTACCTGCGTCATCACAAATTCTAACATTCCCTCTTCCAACACCATGGCGAAGAAATGTCGTGTTACAAACTGTAATTGCGGAGATTATGTCGAAGACTCTAGCAAAAAGGATACATGCAAGACCTGTGGTGATACCAAAGGGAACCACGGTGGGGCAGGGTTCACCGATAACTAAGAAGGTACAGACTCCAAGAAAGAAGAAGCGACTCACTTGACGCTAAGTACATCTTCGAAGGTTGAAGTAACTAGGTGTGCTGAGGTAGCTAGAACTTTAATCTTATACATCTACGCGTTTTCGTAATAAGCCTTGGCTGACGTTTTTCAAAAGCACAGTCAGTGCTTGAGGTAGTCCCTGAATTGCCATCATTCAGCTATTCTTCGATTCAAGGGTACAACTAGGATTTCTGTAGTAACAAATGTCACGAACTTTACTCATCTTGCAATAATTGAAGGTTAAATTTCCCGTGATTCTAGAATGCTTGTTAAGGGACATTGAGCGCGCCTGTCTGTCTGTGTCCATGGGATGGTAGATTGGCCTAACTCTGAAGCCACCTTTGAGTATTCTAAGGAATTAATCATTCACGACAATAAATATTACCTTCGAAATGCCAATTCTTGGAGATTTCGACCCACTAGTCATATCCTGTATTCATAAGGCTGAAGAACTTTGCAAGCCCCGCGATCCTTATAAGGCAAGGCTGAAGGGAAGATGGAGATGAACATGCGACATGTGTAACCAAACCCAACATCATTTGACTAGGATGTCTACCGAATATTTAAAAAGGTGGAAGAGCACAAAGGGAGACAATGTCGCTATTGTAGCCTAATTTTCCCTAACAACGTTCGACATCCGAGGTTAACGACGCATCGACTCTCGCACTACATGGTTCGCACATAAAGGTCGCCATACGCTGAAGACTACCGTAGTGGCAAGTCATAACGCGGTATCAATTAAGAAGTATGAAAGAGGACGTATCGTAGAAGGTGTTGGGAGGGGAACAAAGGGAACTTCTACGTGGTTGAGGCTGTAGCGGCATATTTTCGCGGCGTTCAGAGAAGCACACCGACAATCAGGACATCCTCAATTTTTACCTTCTGCCTCTCTGAAAACCATCTGAAGGTCACAATTATACAGACTATCCCTTAAATTCAAATTCGACTCTATAGTTCAAACATACCTCGTCAGAATCACGTTCTGACATCTTCGACGTCGCAGGTAGAGCTTTTCCAAGGTGCGCAAAACAACACCCAACGTTACACATAGAAAAGTTCCGGGTCCCTTGATCTTAACCCATATCGTTTCTCCTTTTTCGTCTCTGCATTGCCATCTTCGTTATCTTGCTTGGCTCGCTTCCTCTTTGTACCGCTCTTCTTGTAAAGACTTCTTACCCTTTTGATTTTGGGCTTCACCGGCCCTTTCTTAACATGCCTCGGATAATAGCCAGACAACTCATCAAACGCATCCCGTCTTCTAACGTATTCTTCCTCCGTCTCAACTCCAAATTTCTCTTCTGCCAACTGCACAATCCTCCTCCTATTACTCGTCCTCATCGCATCCAATCCACGTAACGTGTCAATCGCATTATGGTCCGGAAATAAGTCGTAATGCATGGCCATTCCTGTCCTATTCCTCGCTCTCACATCTGCACCTCTTGAGAGGAGGAACTGAACAGCTTCGAAGTCGTCGCGTTTTGCAGCGTCGTAGAGCGCAGTCGTTCGCTCGCGCCGGACGATAGGACCATTTTTTCCGTTTCGGGCGTGAAATTCGTGGAGGCCGTTTATATCTGCGCCGCGGTCGAGGAGTGAGGCTGCGGTTTGGAGACGGTCTGGTCCTAGCCCTCGGAGAGCAGTGGAGAGTTCTTTTGAGGTAGGCGGGGGAGGGACTGGGATTGAGGTACGATTATCCATTATATAGTGTTGGGTTTATGCCGTTGTCTAAAGTGCTATCTATCGAGAAGAGAAGTGAGGATCAAGTCTAAGCTGGCTCCGCAATGTGTGATGTCTTTTCAGTGCCTCCGTGATGCTCTTGCGGCCAATTTTCTTACTAGGCAGCGAAGATGATGTCGTTCTTTTTCGAGTTGCCACCTGGCTCTTCCTCGTGCTGTGCCTCACTCCTAAGCAAACCCCGTTTTTGACCTGTCCTGTTTCACTATCTTTTTGAATAGAGTAAAATCAGCCTTGCTCCAATGGTATGCCTAAAGAACTGAGTTGTCGCGTCTCGATGAGCTATCCTGGTTCTGGGTTTTCCGGGTAGGCTGCGCGGACCGGTTACAGAAATCCGGCTAAATTTCCTGATTAGCATCCCCAACGGGCATG